GATGTCTAGTGTTCCCAAGTGCAAGAAGGCTGTGGTGTGCCTTTTATGTTTGTTTATTTTGATGGAGGGAGTCAAATCTAGACCCCTGCATATGCTAAGCACATGCTCCATGACTGAGCTCTCCCACCCAAGAAAATACATCTGTGAGAGAAGCTTTGTTCAGCCATGAGTTATATTCAGGCTGTTAGCTAACAAACCAACAATATGTATTCAATAAGGTGTCTTTGAACAAAAAACACATAAAGCAAGCTTTTATATTATTGGTCAATTGACAGAAATGTTGTGTCCTGAGGCTCACAGAAACCTAGCCCTATGTTCCCCTAGCAGTAATGAATCAGTATGCATGAGTCAGTGCTCTTACTTTGTAGGATATAACTACTGCCATGAATAATGAGGATCAAATCAACAGTAATTTTTCATTGCAGCAATACATATGAATACGAGGAAAACTGGGTAATTCAGCTCACTGGTCTAAGGGAGAAAAGATTCACAAGAAAATCACAATCAAATGTCAGGGGCTATCGCTTCCTTGATAGAGATGAGGCTAGAGATAGTAACAGTTATTCATATCTGACATCTAAGTATTACTACAATAGTTACATATTGAAAATAATTTTGCCTCGTTAAAGAGTTATTTTGAATGAATGCAAACAAAACTACTCAGGAAAATTAACCTCATAAGCAAGTGTCCTTGCTCTTTAAAGCCCACAGTGGTGTGAGGATTGATGCATCGAAAGGCTCCAATGACTGTGCCAGGTTATGCGACCGGGGTGGCCTCAGGGCAAGCAGTGCTGCACATGGGTACTGCTGGCACAGAGAAAAGGCACAAGGGCTGCTGTGGAAGGGGATCGTCCCTTGAGGACCCAAAGTGCCTAACACAGCTTTTCTATGAGTTATGACTGAAAGTCCTGACTCTCATTCCTGAAACTTGGTCTTCACTCCTCCAATTTTTAACTTCAGCCATAAAAGCCCTCCTTTAAAGGAGATTTAGATTCCAACTGTATCCCTCAGCCCCATGCCATATACGTCCTTTAATCAGTATGCTAAGTCCTTAAATATGCACGGGCTTTGCGTACCATAGTTTTGTTTTAGAAGTCATGTAAATAGCACCATGCTATAAATACTGTTTGTTTTTTGTTTTTTCAACTCTACCAAATGATTTATGTGTTCCTCTGTGAATACTGTTTGCTGCTTCTAACAAAAGTGTAGTACACCAGCGTTTGCCAGCCACATTTTACCCATCCTTTTCCCAAGTGCTGGACACACCCTGCCTCCAATTGCTTGAGTTAGGTGATCATAGCAGATTGAATCTCACCATCTACTTTGGAATAACATCATCTTTATTTGCCTGCAATTGTGTCTCATTCTTCTGTTCTGCTTCTTTCCATAGAGGAAATTATCCCCAGAACTCATCTCTAGTTCAGAAGAACATGTGGTATCTTGGTTACTATACAGTGACTTCTTATTTAGCCAGTCCAACAAACTTCTTTCTAGAAAGCAGAAGTCCAGATCTGTTTATTAAGTTTTGTTTTTTTTTAAAAAAACCCAGTGTTGATTCCTAACTCTGGTTTATTGTGAAAGTTATAAAAATTTAAAAACAAAACAACTGAAGACATTGAATGGTGTGTGCGTGTGTGTGTGTGTGTGTGTGTGTCTGTGTGTGTGTGTGTGTGTATGCATGCTTTGTGTGTAGTGCAGGGACTCAAACCAGGGTCTTGACCATGCTAGTTATGTCCTCCACCACTTAGATAAGTACATTTTAATTTAAAAGTAAATATAGACCAAGGGATAGAGAAGAGAAGAGTTGGCAAAACCAAGTTATCGTGAGAGATGGATGTATTTCCCAAATCAGAAATTGTTGAACCGAAGAGTGAACAATGCATTTGAAAGCATACCGGACCAAACTCTGATACATACATGAAAGATAAAAATGAAAGGATGATACTTGTGTGGCCAATAAGGCCTGAAATCTACAGTCCTCCAGTACCAAGTGCCAAGCTGACTGGGTCCAAATAAAAATCTCTGTGAGGTGAAGTGGGAGAAAGATTGTTGCTGACTCAGAGAAAGCAAACCATAAACATGTGGAATCAACTTTTATTTCTGAATGATACAGAGAGGTTATACAGATATATTCTGTTGTTACATATTTTTCTATTATTAATCCACACTATTTAGGGAGAATTTATTTATTTGCCCAAACAAAGTCTAATAGACACTTTATTCTGAGCAATCTTATACATGGTAGAAAAATCTTTAAATATATAAAAGGTGAATTTGTGCATAACTAAATGTTTCTAAGGGAGCAAACTACCAAGGCATTATAATGAGATGCGCATTGCAAATGTAATAAGTACCATTACTGAATGCTCAGAATGATATCTTGATAACAAAGGCTAGGAGTAGTGACTTCCTCCACATCTCAGCATAGGCCTTAGTACGAACCCTATAAAACATTGTATGGCTTCAACAGGAACTTCAGGCTTTCTTCCTCACACAGCTATTGCCCTCAAACTTTCTCACTACTCCACGGTATCTTCTGTGCAGATTTTTGTTCTTGCTTTTAATCAAGAGCTACACAAAGAACAGTTGCCACTTTGAATATGAGCAACACTACTTCTGCACCACAATGAGCCCTTGGTTCCTTTAACAAAAAAATCTACAGGAAAAGTGCAAAGCAGTTCCCAGAAGTCAGAACCAAAGCAAGAATACTCAGAATGCAAGAGCTAGAGAGCTGAATGATGTGAAAATGCACATCAGTCTACCTAGCTGTGTAGGGATTATTTTTTTAGGCTTACCTAGGCTTCTATTTACTTGGATTGAATTTACATGATAGCTTTTCTCTAGCACGTGCACTTAGATTAATTTGCCCTTTTAAAGTAATAAAACATTAAATGCCTCCATATCAGACTGGATCTACAGCCCATAGGTCAGGCAAACAGCACTGTTGGATTGGAAAAGATGCTTATCATTTCTGTGTGGGAAGAGGAAGCTTCACACAGTGTTAACCACCTGAGTTGGTGACCAGCTCAAAGACAGTGTGGATGGTGAGATTGTTGCCACAACTGGCAGCTGTAACAGGAACCCCCCAACCCACACCTCTGTGTCCTCAGGTTTGTACCACTAAGCTGAACCCCGCTTTCCTCATGACTCAGGTTTAACATAGCTACAGAAACCATGTAGTTCACCTTCCGAGGTGGAACACTACCAAAGGAAGGGGCTGAGCAGGTGAATAAACCAGAATTGGGTAACTAATACTTAATATGGGTATGGGTAACCATGTGTCGGGGTGGGCATTATTTGGTAGAGGTAGAGGTAGGCTGTGACAGTGGGTGGGCTGTAGGGCTTTTCTTTCAGATAAACCAGACAGGAGAAAAGAGATCCAGAAAGATACAATGTTTACTAAGTTGGAAGGCATAAGGAGAGACGACAGGTAACTATGGAGGAAAGAGCTGACTCAAATACCTTGTCTGAGCACGTGTGCAAGGTAGGTAGAAACAGACATGAAGCAGTAAGGCCAGGGAGACTCAGTCACCTATGCGATGTCTACTTAAAGCAATCCAGGGCTTACTGTACCCATGGCTTGAAGTGTCCCAGAAAACTGTCCCCAATGCAGTTACAGCCCTGAGACTCCAGCAGAGCCCTCTCTTCACTTCATTTTAATTCTTCCAGCTTACTTGTAAAAGGCGACACTGGAGACTAAGAATGGTTCCCAAAGGGAAATCAAGGACCTCCACAAGGCCAGGAAATAGCTCAGGAGGGACTTTTAAGAAGGGTTTGCTTTGAGTGTTGCAGTTACTACTTGTACCATGAATTTGAATCTAGCGGTCCTTGCCTTTTCTTAGCAGACCATGTATTTTATTTGACTTTCTGCAGATGTTGAAAATTTATTTTTGCCCCCCCCAAAAAAAATTAGTTTGTGGCCTTATTTGTTCATTTTGCAGGAGAAATCAAATACAAATGGCGGGGAGCAGAATGGGAAAAGGCATATTTGTTAGGGTAGAAGCTGCGTAACTTTCTGTGTCAAGACAGTAAATATTTTTGGCTTGGTGGCCATATGGACTGTTGTAACTACTCAACTCTGCTGAGGTAGTGCAAACGTAGCTGTAGACGGTCGAAAAACACTATTATGTGGCTGTGTTTCAATAGCGTTTTATCTATGAATACTAAAATTTGAATAATTTTCTTGTCACGAAAAATTAAATTTTTTCAACCACAAATGTGAAAACCATCCTTAGCTTATGATGGTACCCTAGAGTTGGCGTACTCTGCCAAGCGCTGCTAAAAGCCAACACATTTGAAGTCACATTGTCATTTTAAAGGGAATCTGAAAACTAAAACCTAGTTTGAAAATGGTAGCACATATATTTCCTTTTAAATTTGTGATCCGATTAGAATGTCTTAAAGCAAATAGCCTTCTATAATGCATGTGAGAGAGAAATTTAGATAACTGAATATTCTCAAATAATAGTTTTTGAGTGGGCTTTGAGTTATTGGCACCTAAGAGTATAATTTCTTGAGCCTGGTTTGTGCCCCAAAGTATAGACAGCCACCAATTCAGCCTTAAGTTTTGCAAAGGAAGGAGTGCAACATTTGTGGGAGAAAATAATATTTTAAAAGATACTTTTTGTAAATCACGATAATTTTTAAAAATCATGTAATCATGATAATTAAAATAAAATTGATATTAAGAAAGCTTGGGGGGCTGGGGATTTAGGTCAGCGGTTCGGTGGCCTGCCTTGCAAGTGCAAGGACCCGAATTCAATCCCCAGTATCAAAAAAAAAAAAGAAAGCTTGGCTTCCCTCTGAGAAGTGAAAGACTCGTGTGATGATGACTCATTCAGCTGATGATGTTTTTACCCCTGTGTCTGGCTTATGGCTTCCTGAACAGGCTTACAATTTGAAAGGTGTTATTGTGGGTAGCAGCTCTCGCTGGGGATAGCAGAGTGTGAGCCCCGTGTTCTTGAAATTTGAAGTGATCACTATGAAGAAATCTAGCTGTCTACAGATAAGCCCATTTATCCTTAACAGTGGATTTAAAGTTAGCATGTTGGTAAACATCTGCCTAAGGGAACAAATACCACTACACCAAGGGTAAACAAAATCTCGAAATGGAAGGTCCTACTTTCTTGCTAAGGTTCAGCTAAAAGCTCTGAGGCACATAATTGGCCAAAACAGGAAAATACACACAATTTCATAAAACCCAGTATAAGTAAACAAACTCCTTTCCTGTTTCACCCCTTAGAAATTTAGAATGGCACCAGGTAGTGCAAAGTGGAGAAAAGGTGATGTCAGCCCTGTCTCTTCCAGGTAGACGTGTTTCTTGGCAGAACCACAAAGCAAAGAGCAGCATTCTCTTCAAGCCAGAGCTGGCTAGGGCTTTTCTTTCAGCTTCAGGTCCATACTGTGAGGAAGGGAGGACAGGAGAGAGGGAGTGAGAAACAATACTGATCTGGGTGGGATGTCTGCTTTTTTACCTTTAAAGACTTACTGAAAATAAATCATGCAAGCTCTCTATAGTACTAGAAAAAAATCGGGTAAAACACAATCCTCCCCTAGTCTCTAAGCTTTTCTTAAAAATAGGGAACATTTTATTTACAAAATTATCTCTGGAAGCATTTTACAGCCTTTCAAAATGATGCAGGAAAACAAACCGTGCATGTTAAGGCTTGTTCACGAAGTCAGTTCCGATAAGAAACATTACTGCTCTATTTTTGAAATGAAGGATCTATTTTTAGTAAATGCCTTTTTCTTGTAGTGATGGATACTCTTGCGCCTGGCCCTGATTGGGTTGAGGGCGTTTTCTGGGAAGCTGCCAGGTGAGCAGCACCAGCCAATCACTGGGGGCTGAGGTGGACTGGGAAAGCGGAAGAGGGGCCTGGAAGTTCTAGAGCTGGTGCTCTCACTTCCTCTGAGTGCACGTTTTTCTGTCTGTGGACATCAGACTCCAGGTTCTTCATGCCTTCAACGTGGACTTGTACCAGCAGGCCTCCAAAGGCCTTTCAGCCAGCATATTGGCGTCTTTCTTGTTCTGGGATTTCTGGCTTCGTGGACTGAGCAGCTACCAGCTCTCCTAGTTCTCAGCCCTCAGGAGGCCATGGTGGGACCCTTAAGCCTTTATAGCTGTATGAGCTAATCTAATAAATTCCTATTTATGATTTTGGTCTGAACATATATACTGCATTGGTTCTGTTTCTGTGTAGAACCCTGCTTAATAAACTTGTGAAGCAAACATAATCTGCCTTAAATAAGTAATATCTGACAAGTGCTAAATAGCAAGAAGTGGTAAACAGTAAAATAATAGCAACAAAAACAAAAAATAAAATAATAACCAAAAAATTACTTTCTAGGAGTCAAAGGATTTAACTTAAGACTAGCAAATTTGATAAAATGGATCTTAATAGCAATGAAAAAAAGACTTGAGAGGGTATCCGGGTTCCCAAATATCTAGGGAATACGTCAAATTTTCTTAGGGCTAGGGGTGTAGCTCAGTAGTAGAGCAGTTGCCTGGCATGTACAAGATCCTGGAATCCATCTTCAGCCTTGCAAAACAAACAAACAAAATTTCCCCTCAAGCCACATGTGTCTCTGTTCTGCTGGTTAGTGGATGAAATACAAATTCCTACCCTCAAAGTAGAGAACTAAAAGCCACTGAAAAATCAGAATTCTAGTCATTAAAATAAGCACAACAATTGATTTGAAAAGGCAATTTAGGAAGAATCTGCAGACTGCACTATCTGTCCTCCTGAATCATCTGTCTGCTGCAAAGGCTTCACTTCAGTGTTTACTTGCGGATTACCGCAGCTGAGTCGTGTTCCTTCTGGCAGTTCTGCAAATAAAGCCATTGGTAAGCCATGCTGCTTGTCTAGCTTATAGCTGTAAAGGATCTTTCCTTTGAAAAATCCTCAGCAATTTCACCACTTTGCAGTTGTGGGGACTGGGCCAAGACACCCATTTCCTCCATGCTTCTGCTCATGTATGTTAAATCGGAGCAATCACACTTCTCACAGCATGCAAAGAATCCAGCCCTATGTGTTCACAGCTGTGGCTAATGCCTAAGTACACAGCTGTACCTCAGGTGTTTTTTCAAAGAGGAAAATCATCTCTTTGCTTTAATTGCTCTACTTGCGATAATCTTGTCTCTTTAGGGTGTCTTTGGAGCCCAGCCATGCTCAGCACTGTGAAGGGTTCCAGGTGCCAGGTCTTGTTTTCTCATCTGCAGAATTGTACTTTGGAGATGTCCTCTTTTTATGCACTGTTTTTTTCCCCCCTAACATTCCTTTACTATTCAGGTCATTTTTTTATATTGCCTGAGCATGGTTCCTAAAAGGTACGTTGGGCTGCGGTAATTCCAAGGAGTCTGGTACCTACAGTTTCATTTTTTTCTCCTACGGAGTTGGCTCATTTTCTGTCACAAGCCAGGAAGGCATCAGGAAGCCAAAATTTGAAGCATGTTGTCTGAAAAGTCTAAACCACTGCAGGCAACCGAAGGTTTTCAAAAATATTATATACAATTGCAAGTACATAGTCACTTTGTTTCCCCACCTGGGCCCCCAATAAAAACCTGAGCCAACAATTACACCAGGCTGCCCATCTCAAAACATTTTATTTTCATTTGTTGTTCGGACTTTTTGATAAATTTTCTGGGGTTTAATTCATCTTTTCAGTTTTTGGTAACCAAAAAAGCTGAAAGACTGAAACCTACTCACCCAGTTAATGCAAAGAGCAAGAGATAGTTAAAAGCAGACAATTTTCTTATAACTTAATACAAGGAAGCACTCTGAAGAATAATTCTGGAGAAAACAGTTAACACACGGCACTAATGATGCTATTGCCAAGGCTACTAATTCAGTTTAGAATTAGTTAATAAAACAGAATCACCTTTGATCATATAAATTTTAAATATGTGTAAAAATACTAAAGCCATGCTACAGGCTTAGGACATGAATAAATGCATACAATCTGAACTTAACAGTGAAGGAGAAAAATAACTAGGACTTTTAAAAATATACATCCTTTCTGGGAAAAGTTACATTTCCTCAGAAATGAATATTTTAAAGGTGTAAACCTTGGAGTGAGTTATGTTTTCTATGGTCAACTTTGCAGTGAGACAAAGCAAACTTCTGATAATTTTACAATAGGTCCTTTTCACTTCTAGGGAATTAAATGGGGTTCTTTACAAAGTCTCTGACAGTCTTGTTTGATGATCAGTTAAAAACATTTCTGTTTTATGTAGGAAGAGAAGGGAGAAGGGCATTAACTTTCCCTGCTTTCTTGGAGTAAATGGAGAGAGTGTAGCAGCTGCAGGACACATTTCATTTTATTCTCAGCCTGATGGAGGCACTTGAAAGGGCTCGTGCCCATTTGACGGTGTGTCTTCGCCATACTAGCTACAGAAAGTGTAAAATGCTTCCATACAGTATTTTTCCCCGTCCCTGATGGCCTGTAGCGACCTGAAGCTAGAGGAACTTTAGCAGAGCCCCTCACTCCAACACCAAGAAAGCCAAAAATCTAGGACTGGAAATCAGAAGGAAAAAACTAGTCTAGGGCACCCTCGTCTCTTTATCTAGAATCACACCCTTCTCATAGTGATCCTGTGCCCTGCTGTGACAGGAAAGAGACTCGAAGGAAAGGAAGCCTTGAGAAGAATGTGTTCTTCCGCCAAGTGGGAAGCTACTTTGACATTTTGTAGCATCCCTCTCTCCCCCATGTCCAGCCCTGAGTGAACCCGCATTAGAAGCAATGTTCTCCTTCTCCCAACCCAAAGAGCTGCGTACACCACACAAAGCAGCAGAGGAGGGGGTAAGCCCGGAGATGTAACAGCCACTGATAGGCCACTGAGTGGCTGGGATTCAGGACATACCTTTCACAAAGCTTGTTAGCAGTGCTGTTTTGCTAAAGGAGGAAATGTATTGTGTTTGCAAAATGGATTACAGTGGACTGAGATTTATGTTTCCTTTGCAGAATGCCATTTGGCAATTTGCTTTGGAACCTTCATCTGAAAATGTAGGACACCAGCAACTTTCAGAAAAATAGCCATGTGAGTAAAGCTTTGTTCTTTGTGCCCTTTTCAGTTTTGGACATCCTGGACTTTCGTTTTTATACTTTCTCTAAGTTGTAAAGTCAACATGGCACCTGCAGAGGCATGGCACTGTGTCTTTCCAACTTCTTTGTGGGCCTCGAGGGCAGGAAGAAGGTGACAGCAGACACATTTTCATTTGATCACTGCCCCCTCTTCTGGGTTCCTGGGAATATTGACAGTGTTCGTGCTCTACCACTCAAAGCACTTTAGGAGCCCCTTTGTGGGTGGTCACGTTCTCTCTGAGAGCACATCAGCGACCACAGTTGCATCCCTGAAACTGGCTTGGCTCTGTTCTCTTAGGTGAGTACCCTTAAATGAGAGATGGCTCACCCATGTGAGCACAAAGGGCACCATTTTCTGATTTAAAAACAACTGTTGGCTCCAGATCTGCATGACCAAGTTTCAAATACAGTTCTGGACAATTAAACATTTTTTTTTATTAATGCTTATTAGTAACACAGAATAGTAAGAGTCATTTTGGCAGATCAGTACATGTATATAATGTATCTCTCGGGGCCACTTTTATAGCTCTAAAACATTGAACTGTGCAGATAATCTCTCTATGCCTCGCTTTCTTATTTGTAAAATGTTCCTCAAGCTTATTCTGAGGATGAAAATCAGATACTGTGTGTGGGCTTTTTACACAGAGTCTGGCACATGCTAACAACTCAATACATGTCAGATTTCTGCTTCTCACAGGATGGGAATCATCCAATGCAATGATTCCTGAAGTCCTCTGCAAACTCAACTGCCTCCTGGAATGTGCAAAACAAGGATAACTCTCCCCTACCATCAAAATACTACACGGACATGCGAGTTCTGGCTTTCACTAATTAAAACAGATGACAAGATTCAGAAAGCAGAGTTGTGGTGCCCAAATGTTCTTATGTTTGGCCCCAATATTTATTTTCTCCTCATTTTTAGATTAGAAAAATAGAATGATGTGTAAGGAGAAGGATTAAGTGGGCAAATTTCTCAAATTTCTGATTTCAGGAATATAGAAATAAAAGCTGAACATCTAAAGGGGCTTTACCCAATCCTGAATGCATTTTGTTTTCTTTCCAAGCCCAGCCACACAACACTACAAGTAACCACATAGCTGTTGTTGATGGGGAATTCTTACTCCTTCTCCATAGAAGACATTTCTGGATCATTGTAAAGGCAGCTAGTTCTGAGTGCAAAGAAAAAAATAGAAAGTCATCAATATTTTCTCCATTCTTACTGTATATCACCAATACTGATTCAGGGCATTGCAACCCCTGTAATGTGGTCCCATTGCTACTACTGAGCAAATCCACACCTGAGCAGGTGACAAGATTAAGCTGTGACTCTTTTACCACCAGTTTTGAAATACAGTAATTATCCATAATTCACAAACAAAAGGAACATTAAAAACTCTAAACCCATCCAGAGCATTCCTCTGTCCTCGTTATTTTTGCCTGAATCGTCAAATCTTAGTCAGTGAACTACACATTATAAAATGTTATTTGTACTCCAACAATCAAATATTTTATACACAAAGGAAAGCCCCCCTTACAGAGCTTAATTCTGCTTACACATGAATACAGCTTTCAATTTTCACAAGAGTGAGGATTTTTCAAGATATTAAAAGAGAAAATACAAGTGTCAGCTTTTCTTGTTGTTGTTATAGAAAAATAACCAGAAACGTACCAGTCCATACAGAGCATCAGTGAATCTCAATATTAACTCAATCTGAGTATGTTCAGGAAGAAAAAATGGAACCATGTCATACAAAGAAATAAAAGATTTTGATTGTGTTGATGCTTTTTGGGCAATAATAGCTGCTTGTGATATTCCATAATTCGTAACAATTCCTCTGTTAGCAAACTTCAAGTTTGCTTTCTATTATTTCCTGATCAACACTTACTATACTTCAAATTTTATCTCCTTCCCATAAAGATTTTTGCAAGTAAATATTTAAGGGGATTCTACAATCCTTTTTAAATGTAAATGTTTCTTTTGCAATGTGAATAATTTTGTAAGTTAATTTTTATAGAGAAGAGGTTTGAGATTAAGGTTAAGTATTTTGTTGAAAATGGCAGAAGGGTATCTCCCTGGGCAGAGCAGCGGCTTTCCCCCACCCCCTTTACTCTCTACTGTTCTTGCTGGTGGTCTGATATTTTTATGGAGAATATTTGGCAACTTTGATGAATAAAGACAGTCCAGTAAGTGTTGACAGTGTGCTAGAAAAACTTAGCGAAGATGGAATGGATCAAGAAAAGGCAAATTTCCAAATCTAGCTCTCTCTCTTTTTTTTTTTATTTGTAAACTTGGAATAATCCTTCCAAAGAAAACAGCAATTTGCAAATCATTTAACACTGTCACTCCAAAGCACCAGATGGATTCTTACCCATTTGCAAAATAAGAATGGGATACTATAATCCTTCAAAATTTCCTTCATGTGTAGATCTAAGGTTTTAAAGAAAAGATGGGGCAGGCTGAACAAACTGCCTCCTGAAAGTTTATTGGAGGTGGGATTTGATTTGTGCTATAGCGTATGTGTTGATGGTGAGTGTGTATGTGAAAGGAGTGGGAGAATGTTTTAAGAACACTTTAGAAATGAAACAAGTCCATGGACCAAATAGGTTTTGTTCTTTGATAGTGTGTATTCGCCTTTGGTTAGCCCCAGCCTGAAGCTGTCTAATACAGTCATGTGGAGAGCCTGGATACAGCTGTGAATATGAGGGACCTGGGTGTGTCTGGTTCTAACCACAGATCTGCAGTGACCAAAAATCATTCGGAGTCTGTCCTAGGATTTAGGGGCCACTTAAAAGGCTGAAAGCTAGTTTAGGAGATGTAGCTGAAACGATAGGATTCGGAGGTATTCCAGACATCTGTCGAGGCAACAGAATAGAAAGCTTTCTTTTCACACACGCTCAAACTTGCAAATATTTGTCATCTTAACCATCAAAAGACAGAGAATCACTTGGGGAAGAATTCTTTAGGCCAATGGCTTATGCTCTGAATTCAAAGCAAGAGCATGGACTGCTAAAAAAAAACTAATTATTTTTATTCAGCCTTTTACATTAGGGTAGAGGGTCTCAAAGTTCCTGAGACTAGCAGCATCAACATAAATATTTTCTTTAATTTTTGATACAAAATGTCCACACACAGGCAAGACATTCTATAAGCTACCTGCATTTAAAAAGTACCATAGGGAAAAAGGGTCTGCATGGATTGTTTGAATGCAGAACTGGCTTTTTACAAATAAGAAGAAAAATTTCACTATTTAAATCATATTTACTTAGACTTTGTAGCTGTTTGGACATTCTCTAGGCTTTCTGCTTTTGTAATAGCTATTAAAATGAGAGCTTGTTAAAAATAATAGTGTAAAAAATTAATAATGTAAGCAATATGGGAAATAGGGTAGAAATTGAATGTACTTGATAGAGCAAATTTGCCAAATAGGACTTGTTCTACAATTAACATAAAGTGTCGTAAAATTCTATGTAAATTAGAAAGAAGAAAAGAAAATGACCAGAGCACTTTCAGAGCAGTTCTCCCCTGACTTTCCAAGGCTATTTTACAGCTCTATAGGGAAAGAGGTTAACTTGTAGATTTATGTCTGGCAGAAATACAAATACTGCCTGTGCACTAGAAAAGATTTTCTGTCTATAGCCTTTTTTTTTTTTTTGGTACCGGGGATCGAATTTCCGTCTATAGCCTTACCGGACATGAGCCACTTGTGTGTCTGAGCGGACAAACTTCATCCAAACACTCTTTTATAAGTTGCCTACCCAGTAATGCACTCTTATCTGCATTTTGGTTTCTGAGGGTTTAGTTATCAGTACCCAACATGGCCTGGAAATATTAAATTGAATAATCCAGCAATAAATAATTGATATGGGTTAAGTAACTTATCATAGTATATTATTATAATTGTTCCATTTTATTTAAGCTATGTTAATCTCCTACACTGCTTACTTTATAAATTAAACCTTATCATAGGAATTTTTGCCTAAGAATAAACAGAGAATACTGTATGTACTGTTTGGTGCTATCTGTGGTTTAAAGCATCTGTGGAATGCCTTAGAAGAAATTCCCTGCAGATAAGAGGGGATACTACAGCAAGCTTCCCAGATACTCTTCAAATTGATTTTAAAACCTTACTGATTCCTTTCCTCACTGAATAAGTGGCTGAATAAAATTGGCATGTGTTCCATTTGTATTATCATGAGAACTGGGACTTTGTTCTTTTTGGACATCATGCCTCACTCAACAATAGTGAGCAATGACCCCCCGTCCCACCTGCCACCACCACCTTTAGGAAAATAGCTTGAAGGCTCTGAGGTACGCAATATTTCCAGGTCATTATATAAGGTGCATTGTCACTGTAAATAAATCTTCCACATTTTGACTTTCCATACTTCTCACCGTAGGTATGGATTAGCGAGGATCTGTTACCTCGATGTATCTGAAGGTCATCTGGAAGTTACACCCTGTGGCAGGGTCTGCGCTGTGGTCTTTTGGTTGTGGTGTCTAATGGCATGTGTATTTAAACAAGCTAAATTCCCACAAGTGCTTTCTTCAAGATAACCAAGACCATGGGGGAAATAGACGGAGTAGCAACAGGGACTGCATTTACCACGGAAAATAATTTGGGAATTTTCTAAATTCAGCATTACAACGAGACACCAGGCATGCAGATTCTCCCCGCTCATTCCTGAAATGCAAGCCAGCTGCTAAACGAAAACTAAATCTTACTTAGCTGCTTCTGATGCTTCTCTCAGTTCTTCATCCAGTCTGCACGAGCAAAAATTATCGACGTAGCAAAGAAACAAAAAAGAAGCAAGCAGAGCATGAGAGAGTAACTCAGCAGAGCAGAGCCAAAGGCAAGGAGCGTGCGCAGTTTTACAGACTACTCTGGTGCAAGACACATTCAGGTACTCGTGACTTAATCTCCTCCCATCGCGTGTTCATGGATGTTTACTTTGCAAATACCTTTCGTAAAGATGGATGTGGAAGTAGCAAGGGGATCTGAGACATGCCGGCTGAATAAAGCTGAGCACATCCAGGTGAGTGTGTTGGGGTTAGTGAGTGAGCTCGCAGCCTGGGCCAAGTCAGGGGTGTATCTGGTTCAGTAGGTTTCCACTGCAAATCAGGTTGACCTCAACAGCTTTACACACAGGACAAAGACTAGAAATGGTACAGGAGGGACTGATACACAACCTCTTGCTGTGGTAGCATGTTGAGGTCACCCACAAGTAAAACACTGGGGTATACACACAGAGGGTCCAGCCTGAACAGAGATCGGGAGATTTTTACCTCACACTTCTTTTAAAAGATCTCTCTTCATCATACCTTGTGAGATAAAAAAACAGATGCCATGAGGAAAATAACCAAACAGATGGAAAAGATGACACACAGATATTTTCGTAATTATCCAGTTGGCTTTTGGGAGAAAACTTACTTTCATTAGACATAGTCAAAGACTTATATTTTATAAATATGCACGGCAAGTCCTCATTATTTGTGGACTCTGCCTTTGCAAATTTACCTATTCACTAAAATGCATTTGTAATTCCCAGATCAATATTAAACAGTGTTTTGCTTTGTTTTGTTTGGTACCAGGGGTCAAACTCGGGCCCTTGCCTTTGTGAGGCAGTCGGCGGAACCACGGAGCCAAATCCCCGGCCCAATATTAAACAGTTTTTTGGTCACTTGTGGACAAAAGCAGGTGGCAGAAAAAATTCGAGTTGGCCAAGTGTGCACATCACCAGCTGAGGTCCAACACGGCGAGGCTCTGCCTTCTCACTTTATACTGTAAACAAATGTCCTTTTCTCTGTTTATTTGGAGACGTAATTCCCTGTTTCAATGTTTTTTTGTTGGTGATTTTGCTATTTAAAAAGGCACAATATAGTGCTGAAATGCTACCTGATATTCTGAAGCCTAAGAAGGTTGTGATGTGCCTTCCAGAGAATATGAGTGTGCTACAAACTGAGTCATCAGCACAGTCTAGCGAGGTGATTTTAAACGGAAACACTCATAAAGCAATTTATATACTGGTTAGGTGGTGAAAAGGTGCCTAGCATCTCACAGGAATCTAACCCTATATTTTCCCTAGGAATAATAGTTCAATATTCACTATTTGAGTATTCCCAGAGCCTTAATTGACTATAATAGCCACAAATAATGAAGATCAACCATAATCAGTGATTATAGATCTGATCCAACTTGGGCAAATTCTTCTTGTATTTAAACCCTTTGGTGGCAGGTTACGTCCCAGCTGAATACTGCTCTTGGGATTAGCTGAGATCAGATCTTCTGAATGGCTTGTACCAATTTGAAAATTGCTCAACGTGAAAATGAAACAGGGGTCAGTGATAGAAGCAAGAGAAAGAAAACTTGAAGAGATGGATTACCGAAGACAGAAGAAAACACAGACACGTCAGGAGAACGTTCGCGTTGCTAAATCTTTTCCTCCAAAAGAAAATCTTTCCAAATGGAACCCTTCCTATGACGCGACTTTCTCAATGCAGCCTTGAGAATTGATGTGTGGAGAAGTATGAAAAGTGCCCTGGCCACGATGAACTCCCCTTATCATAGAGAGTCTCCAAAATGCAACAGGGATGATAATGAATAACAATGTAGACTGCAGGGTCTGTATTAGGAGGCTTCCTGATTGGTTCACGTACATTGTTCTCGTGAACACCGCTCCTCAGGTCCATCCCATGAAGTGTGAATTACTTCCCCATTTTACAAATGCCAAAGCTGAGACTCAGAGAATTTTAATAGGTTGCTTGGCTGGGTGTGGTGGTACATGCCTATAATCGCAGGACTCTGGGAGGCTGAAGAAACTTCAAGGCCAGCCTGAGTAATTTAGTGAAAAACCTGCCTGTCCCCAAGCAAAACAAAACAAAAACAAAGCTTGGGGATGTGACTCAGTGAGAAGGTCCTGGGTTCAATCCCCAGAACTGCATTAACGAAACAAAGTGAAGTCTCAGAAACACTGAGAAGTAGGAGGGCAGGTTCCTACTCAGGTGCTCCTAAATTCCTTTCCCTTTTCAGGCTACTGTCTCTGCCATACTGGGGAAGCACTACATATTTCCCTGGAGAGTGGTCAATGTGTGTTCCTGTTAGACTGAATGTCCTTGTCATTTTTTTTTTTCCAAAGGGAGAGAGGGAGACAGCATTATAGATGAGGTGGGTGGACAGCTTTTAAAATTTTGATGGTACCAAGGACTGAACCCAGGACCTTTGCACTGAGCTACATCCCGACTCCTTTTTAATTTCGAGACAGGGTCTAAGTTCCCAAGTTTCCCAGGCTGGGCTCAAACTTGTGATCCTCCAGTCTCAGCTTTCCAGGGTGCTGGGATAATAGGTGTATGTGACTCAGTACTTTTTTAAAGAGTAGGCATGGATTTTGCAGATGGTGTGCACTTTTGGGGAGGCAATAAGCTTGAGCTATGAGGTGTGCTGGTTGTGGGGACGCTATAACAGCAGCGAGGATTGAAACCATTGCTAAGGTCTTACGAATACTCCATTTGATTCAGAGGAACCAGTTGACCCTGAACATTCATTAGTCTCCTGTGTCCAGGCTGGCTCTGGGTTGGAGGAAAACTAATACACCTATTGTGATCTTTGAATTTAGATGTACACTTTAAAGGTGGTAAAAAATCCACTAGAAAAGAATTTGGGTACCAGCCTGACCTGGATTTGAATGCTAGTTTCATATCTTCCTGGTTCCTACTTATTCCTTCCATAAATAACTGCTCATTAAGTTATCTTCCCTGCATTTGTAAAGTGGGGTTTACTATGGGAGTTAAATAAATGACACAAACAGAGTTCCTTCATGGCTGGCACATGGTAACGTCACCAACACACGTTAAGAGAGGATCTTTTCCTTCCACTTTCCTTTTCTCTTTCAAGTATGGCCTAATAGGATCTTTGGAAGCCCAAACTGGAAGGCCCCATTTGCTGCCTGTCTTATGGAGGAAGATTTATAACGCTTGTCCTTTTTGTGAGCTGATGGTTGTACGCCTTTCTATTGTGAGCAAATTAAACAAAAACAAAAACAAAACTGGTGAATCAGATACAGTAGGAGAAAATCTTGGGTTTTTTGCAACAACGTATCAGATAGGAGCATTCATTCTCCAGTATCCATGTTTTAATATTCCAGCTCCAAATATTTGTTTAATTTTTATTCTTACTTTGGAGACCTTCATTACCCATAGTTTCTATTTGCAAGTTGCCCCATTATCCTGTACTGAGCAAGAACGCTTAATATCCTCTACCCACTACAAGCAGCTTCCCTATACCTAATCTCATTCCTAAAGAGAATCATGAAAGAGAGAGAGAGAGAGAGAGAGAGAGAGAGAGAGAGAGAGAAAAGGATTTAGAAGAAAATAGTTATTTTGTTCCTGTTTTCCTGGGGTCATGCAGGCAATAAAGAAATCCAAACTATGCTAAGATCTTATCCTATCTGTGCAGAACAGGGGTCACAAGTAACAAATAAACTGGTTCATATTAAATTTATGCTTTCTCCAAAATTCAAGCGAAATTCAAGGTAAAAATGAGTGATAATTAATGACCCCCAAAGCACTGTCATGTAAACAGAAAGCATACGAATGTATAAGTTATGGGAAGAAACTATGTCTATTGGAGACTGTCGCATTTCATATTTATTTTTAAAATCAGATGCTACTTTCCCACTATTCTAGAAATCAGTTTGTTGCCACCCCCAAGCCCCACCCACACCACTTACAAACATGCGCTGTTTCTTACTGAGTCTTTACAGGACCGTCACACTTACTTGATGATGCTCTCTGGGATGTGGATGCAGTCCGTCGGGATTAATCCGCTGAGCTCTGCTAGGGAACTAACATACCTAATTTTACTGCTGAATTTTGAGCTAAAAGAAAAGGGAAAAAAAATCATTGTTTGTTACTTCCTAATAAGGTTTCTTTTTGAAACTCTTTTTTTTTGTTTGTTGTGCTATTTTGGTGCTGGGGCTTAAACCCAGGGCCTCATTAGCATGGCCTCTGCCACAGAGCTGTCCCCGAGACCGAACATCTTGGTATACTTAACACTTCACTCCAGCACTCTCACGGAGAAGAAAGCCTAATGTTATTTGAGTAGTCACTGTGCCAGACATTATCGGGTTGTACTCTTGTTTTTAAATTGATAAATAAAAATTGGGTAACATTTATTGCGTACAAGATAATGTTTGGAAATGCATAGGTACCGTGGACTGGCGAGTTGAACTAGTTAACCTATGTATCACATACTTAGCTTTTTCTGTGGTGAGGACACTTAAAATCCATTCTTTTAGCAAGATATTTCAGAATATATTACGCTGTTATGAATTATACCCACCATGTGGTCTAACAGCTCTCTTGAACTTATTCCTCTTACTGAAATCCTATATCCTTTGAAACTTCACCCCCTCCCCCGCCACAGTTAACTACTAATCTCTCTACTTCTGATTTCAACTCTTTTAAATTCCACATACAGCCGTCCCTATCCACCTACATGGAGTTGTTCCGGGAGCTCTCACAAGTGCCCAAATCTAGGCATGTTCAAGTCTCTTACATGTAGTATTCATATAGAACCTATGCACTAGTCTGATAAACTTCAGATGGTCTCTAGGTTTCTTATAATACCTACTACAATATAAATGCTATGTAAATTATTGTGATACCATATTGTTTAGGGAATCATGACAAGAAAAAAAGACCAAAAGCCTGTGTATATTCAGACACATTTTTTGTTTTGTTTGTTTAATATTTTCCATCTGTGGTTGGCTGAATTTGTAGATGTAGAAATCATGGATACAAAGGGTTGACTGTAAAAGTGAAATTATGTGGTGTTTGGATGGGTTTAAGTGGTGTATATATATATTAATTCATATATTTTGTATTACAGAATACTGAAATGGGTACTATTATTATCCTCTTTTTCAAGGATAAGGAAACTGAGACCCAGGGTCCCACTATTAGTAGGTGAGAGAGCCTAGACAGCCCGGGAGTGTCAGATTTGACACTCCTGACTACCTGTCTCTCTAAGTAGTCACTTGGTTATGCTTTCTTTGGTTTTTTGCTTATTTATTTGTTTTTAACAAAAATTGTACCATGAGTTCTTCCAGAATCTACACATTTTGATAATCTTTAAAAATATATGTGAACTAAATTTCCTTTAAATTTTTTAGTTTTATTTAAAAATAATTTTACATTTTAAAGTTGCTCCCAGATGGGCCAACCTTTAAGAATATGTCCCAATAATTGCATTGGAATTACAGTTTTCATCTAAATAGGGCCATTCTGTAGGAACATAATGCCCAGGAAACAAATTGGTGGGATAGCAATGAAACTGATAAGAGAATTTGTATCTGAGGATTTGGTAATCATTAAGAATTTGGTCTTGCTGGGCGTGGTGGCGCACACCTGTAATCCCACTCGGATTACACTTGGGAGGCTGAAGCGGGAGGGTCGCTGTGAGTTTGAGCCCAGCCTGGGCTACATAATGAGTTCCAGGTCAGTCTCAGCTACATAGTGAGACCTTGTCTCAAAAACAAAAACAACAAAAAAAGAATTTGTTCTTACCTGCCTGCAATGATGAAGAACGCATTTTCTTGTTATTTTGGTAACTATACATTTTTTTAAATGGGTTTTTTTTTTTTTTTTTTTTGTACCAGGGATTGACCTTGGGTCCTTGTGCTTGCAAGACAGGCGGCGGAACCACTGAGCTAAATCCCCAGCCCTAAATGTACCATTTCAGCTGAAAAGAAATTTGCTCAAGGATATAACATTCTTTAATGTTTTTTCTTATTATTTAGTAAAAGGAGAAAGATTTACATCATCTGAAGAGAAACCAGAGTATGTTTTCTTATTATTTAGATAATTACAAATTTTTAAGAAAGATCATTTGCAGTTGAAAGGGAATTTGTTCAAAGATAAAATATTCTTAAATGGCTTCAAAAAAAAAAAACAAACACGTCTTCCGGGACTGCGGAGACGGTGCCAAGCTGCCCGCCGGCTCTGCTGCCTTGTGATCCTCCAACTACTGTGCATTCCAGAAGGTTTCTCAAGGGCTTTTTTCTGCGCAGTCTTTAATATTTTACTTGTGGCTCTGACTAAGCCATGGACTGTGATTTGTGATTAGTCTCCCTGTCCATAAGGTCACCCCTAGCCCTCTGGTGAGCCTGGGACCAACACACATCGCCAGCGACACACCGCATTCAGAGTCGTGCTTCCTTTGCAGGTTCTGAGCTCAGTTCAGGTTTTGATAAAAGAGTGAGTGGGGCAGTGAACAACAGGATGGAGTGATACAGGGGGAGTCTTCCAGCTGCTGCTCTTTGTTCCCCAGAATTCTTCTGGGAGCCTGTCATGCTCTCCTCTTTTGCGTTGGCATTGCCTCCTTCCGCTTGTTTCCTCTGCCTGAATTATTCTTCACCTTGATTTCAGCTTGCCAAGACCGCTTGTCTTTCAAAATGCACCTTGAGGGCTAACTCTTTTGGAAAGCGTCTCTGCCGCACACTCAGCCTTCACTTTTCCCCACATTACCCCAAACTCACCCTCACTTTGAGCTGCCAGCCCACAAGGTGGCTCAACTGGGCCACCTCTGGCGATTGTTTACTCTGCTGTGTTCCCTGCTGGCCTTGGAGCTCCTTGGGGAGTGGCAGGAGCTGAGCCTGGGCCAGCAGTTTCTCAATCTCCAGTGTCTGAGCTCTTAGTACAGGCAAGTGACTCACTTGAAAAAATGCCCTCGCCATATGCCTCCTTCATAGATGTAACCCTTTACCCATGAAAAAATTTATGATAAATTCATTTCAGTGGCCTCCTTTCAGATCAAAAAATTGGTAATGCTAGTACAAACTAAACCAAAAGGGGGTCTTTAATGAGGTGCTTACATGATGAACCACAGAATACAATTCGGTGTTTGCTGCGTTTGTTTTTTAGAATGAGCAAACTGTGGGGTCCTTCATTTCTTGGTTCTGTTACTGTGGACCCAGACTGCCAAACTACAGCCACAGGCCAAAACTAGCTCCCTGCCAGTGTTTCTGCACAGCTGTGGGGCTCAGAATAACTTTTACATGTTTTTCAGTGATGGAAAAGTAACAATCAAGAATATTTTATGATGATCCTAGCACTTTAGGAGGCTGAGGCAGGAGTATTGAAAATTAAAGCCCAGCGGGAAATTTTAATGATTTAGTGAAACCCTGCCTCAAAATTAAACAAAAAAATCTAGGGATGTAGCTCTGTGCAAAGGCCTTAGGTTCGATACCCAGTACTGCCAAGGGGAAAAAGGAAATGTGAAAATAGTAGGAAACTCAGTTTGAAATTTCAGTGTTCATAAGAGAGGTTTTATCAAAATACAGCCCTTGCTTCTGTACATAGTGTCTGTGGCTGACAATGACAGATGGTGGGGACGCATGAGGCCATCGCACCAAGAAAGCCTAAAACATTCACTGTTCGATCCTTTACAGAGGGTATTTGCTGGCTTCGGCCATTTACATAACCTCCCTAATGCTCACAGTTTTTTCTATATAATGCAAAACATGAAAGGTGTCTGTTTGAGAGGACATTCATTAGGGTTCAGTGAGATAATACATAGAATCACCTACGGAACGGGAGCCAGCATTAGATGTAATTTACCATATGATCACGGCTATAATATTATTATGCTGTTGTCATTGTTACTATCTTGAAGCTCCTTTCCATACTGTTAATTAGTAAATTAAAAGATATATATATATATATATATATAT